TACAGGCGTGCATCACCCTACCTGGCTAATTTTTATATTTTTTTGTAGAGTCAGTGTTTTGCCATGTTGCCCCGGCTGGTCTCGAACTCCTGGGCTCAAGTGATCCTCCCACCTTGGCTTCCCAAAGGCATGAGCCACTGCGTCCAGCTGACATAACTTTTATATGCACTGAGAAACCAAAAAACTAGCAATACTCACTTTATTGCAGTGGCATGGAGCTGAGGCTGCAATATCTCCAAGGTGTGTCTATAATAGTGGCTGTGGATTCTGAGCTGTAGTAGACCCATATTACACATCTTTACATGGGCTCGGTCCTTTAAACCTCACAACTACTTGACTACTATTATTCTCCTTGTTTTACAGATGAGGAAACTGAGCCTCAGAGAGGGCAAGTCACCTCTCCAGGTCTCACATCACATGTGGTAAGAGGCACAGCCAGAACTATTTGACCCCAGAGTGTGAGCATCTGATCAGTCTCCTATAGCATTTCTTCTCTGGCACATAACAGTGAGAAAGCCCTGCCACTATTCAAGCTCGGAACACTGAGAACAATCCACATCCCTGCCCTCCAGATTCCCAGCAAATGGAAATGTTTTCTCCCCATGTTCTGAAAGCCCCTGCATGTCCCATACATAAGGAGCCTGAGGGCTTGGGGGACACCTGCCTGTGAGCAGAGGCCCCCAGGAGACCATCTGGCGTTCTTTGGGAGCAGGCTTCCCTCCTGAATCATATGCATTAGGCATGACTTATAAATGTATCTATAAATCTATCTAAAACCACACCAGTTCTAAAGACAGGGTTTGCAGTGCAGGTATGAGCCAATATCAATCCTTAACCACACAGTGACTCATGAATGAATTTCCAGGCAGGAATCTCATTCCCAGGAAGGGATGTCCCGCCTCCAGAGGCAGAGCCTACTCCAACTTCATTCCAGAACCAGATTTAGATGCAGGCCAAGGTCATTCATAGCACACGACCTTAAAAAATTAGCCCTGGGCCAGGTGTGGTGGCTCACACCTATAATCCCAGCACTTTGGAAGGCTGAGGTGGGTGGATCACTGGAGGTCAGGAGTTTGAGACCAGCCTGACCAACATGGTGAAACCCCATCTCTACTAAAAATACAAAAATCAGCCAGGTACAGTGGTGTTCACCTGTAAGTGGCTCACACTTATAATCCCAGCACTTTGGGAGGCTGAGGCAGGAGAATCACTTGAACCCCGGAGACGGAGGCTGCAGTGAGCTGAGATCGCACCACTGCACTCCAGCCTGGGCGACAAGAGTAAGACTCTGTCTCAAAACAAACAAACAAACAAACAAACACATCAGCCCTGGAGATTTGTTGAAACAAGCAGCTCCTGGCCTAGGACTTAAGATCATTCTGCGCTGTGGGTGTTGTTTTTGTAGAGACGGGATCTCCCTATGCTGCCCAGGCTGGTCTGAAACTTCTGGGCTCAAGTGATCCTTCTGCCTCAGCCTCCCAAAATGCTCAGTTACAGGCATGAGGCATGGCACCTAACCTGCACTGAGGGTTTTGGGATTTGTTATTCACTCATTTAACAATTTACCCTTGTTAAATGAGTGTGGAGAGGGATACAAAGTGAATAAGACAGCTCCTGCCCTTGAGGGCTCAGAACTGAATAATTCGTTGGATTTGCCTTTGGCTTCGCTGAGTTTTCTGTGCCTCTGAGCTATCATTCTATGTCCAGTGGCCACAAACCTGTCATGATTTTGAATTATCGGTGTAAATCTTGGACTCAAACCATCTCAAGCTCCACTGGCCACCAGTTATTCTGGACTATTATGATGTCTCTGGCTGAAGTGTTTGGGAGGGCCACTGACCGTGCTGGTTCCCCCAAACCTTAGTCAGGTTCCCGGGATGCTGGGCTTTCAGTGCTAAATCAGAACAAGTCCTAAGCGAACCAGGATGAACTAGCCATCCCAATGCTGGGAGCGGGGCAGCAGGAGGGCAACAGGTGGGTGGGGAGGAATTATAATAACTAAAACTTATTTTGTTTAATAATGTAGTAATACTTAGAACAAATGTATGAGGTAAGTACTATAATCGCCCTGTTTTATACAGGTATAAACCGGGACACAGAGAGAGGGAACAACTTGTCACAAGTGACCATTCTGTAAATGGCAGAGACAGGCCCGACAGCTGATCCTGCGTTCCCAGCCATTACTCTGCACTGCCTTAGAGGGCTCATGTGTAAAAATGCAGTGCAGATCAAGTCTTGGGACCGTGTTTGAAGTGAATTCTCGGAGATTGGAAGCAGACTCCTCTGGAAGCAGAAGTCTGCGGAAGCTTTGTTTCCATGGAGACCCAATCATACCCAACCACGCTGTGTTCAAATGTAGTCACAACAGTGGGGGGCAGCCATCACTGAAGCATTTCTTTTTTTTTTTTTCCAGCTGGAGTTTTGTGTTCTCACTCAGGCTGCAGTGCAGTGGCACGATCTGCAAAATGTAAGTCTCACGCAGAGTCCTAAAAGACGCTCATTAAGTCCCAGGTGATATCGTGAATTTAGATGATTCCCTACTTACCAGTTGCTAGCTATGTGACTTTGGGCAAAGTTACCGAAACTCCTAGCTGTTTCCTCGTGGTTAAATGGTGTAAGTAATAGCAAACACACTCAATGGCAGTGGTGAAGATGAAGACAAATGGGATTAACACACAAAAAAGCCAGGTCCAGAGCGGGCAATGAAGAAATGCATGCCAGCTGCTCACTGCCATCAGCCCAGCCTATGTCTTTAAATGAGAACAATCCCTTTGAGAACTAACACGAAGGCGTGGTCTATTCTCCTTCTAGCTTTGCCTGCCCCATCTCTCTCTACTCTGTTCCAGTCTCCATCCCACTTCTGACTTGGGGGCCTGTTCCCAGCCATTTTTGTGCTACTGGGAAGAGATGAGCAAACAGGAACCTCCCGTTTCTTCCCCCACTGTGTACCTCATACTCCCCGTCCACGCAACCCCAACCTAGACACTAGGACACTGCCTGATGGGTAACCAGACTTTGATTCATCCATACAAATGGGTAACCCAGCCGCCCACATGACTTCAGCAGCTCAGAGAAGAGAAGAGATGGGAACAGACGAGGATGTGTTGTCCTTCTGATAGACAAGGTGGGTGAGAAAGCATCATGATGTGCATGCATCTTTGAAAGTTTCATTCAGATGTTCAAGTTCAAGTGGCTATATGGTGGGGTACTTAAAGGCCCCAGGAGAAATCAGGGGCCTGATTGATACAGATGCTGAAATTAAGCCTGAAATTCAGCAAGACATCTTGGAGAAATGTGTGTTTCCTATTTTTTTTTTTTTTTTTTTTTTTTGATTCGGAGTCTTGCTCTTGCTGCCCAGGCTGGAGTGCAGTGGCACAATCTCAGCTCACTGCAACCTTCGCCTCCCAGGTTCAAGTGATTCACCTGCCTCAGCCTCCCAAGTAGCTGGGACTACAGGCACATGCCACTACACCCAGCTAATTTTTGTATTTTTAGTAGAGATGGGGTTTCGGCATGTTGGCCAGGATGGTCTCAATCTCTTGACTTCGTGATCAGCCCACCTCGGCCTCCCAAAGTACTGGGATTACAGGCATGTGCTACCACATCCAGCCAAAATTTGTGTTTTCTTAGCAAGAAAAACTAGGCCCTATGTTTCCACACATGTGCAAACACTCGCTGGCAATTGTCACCCATTGATTCCCCACCTGGACTTAGGGTCTTCACAATCTCTTCCACAACTGACCTTCAATTAATCAAAGGTAGTTTTCAGGCCCTGTGAGGATGGGGTGAGCTCAAAAAATGTTTGGTTTATAAACAGCAACGATGCTGAGAGCAGCAGTGTGCCAGGTGCAGTGCTAACTTTTAAAGACATTGCTCAGCTCCTTCTTCTCCGAAGCCCTGTGTGGCTGATATTATTATCAATTCCTCCTCATCATCCTCTATTTATAGATGAAGAAACTGAGGTTCATTTTATTTAATTTTTGAGATGGAGTTGTGCTCTTGTTGCCCAGGCTGAGTGCAATGGTGCAATCTCGGCTCACTACAACCTCTGCCTCCCAGGTTCAAGTGCTTCTCCTGCCTCAGCCTCCTGAGTAGCTGGGACTACAGGTTCCTGCCACCACGCCCAGCTAATCTTGTATTTTAGCAGAGACGGGGTTTCACCATGTTGGCCAGGCTGGTTTCAAACTCCTGACCTCAGGTGATCTACCCACCTTGGCCTTCCAAAGAACTGGGATTACAGCAAAGAGCCATTGCTCCCGGCTGAAACTGAGGTTTAGATAGTCAGATATCTAAGAAGTGGTAGAACTGGACTTTATGATTCAGAGCCCACCATCTTCACCTGAGATGTGCTCAAGTGAGTGGAATGTGTGGAGCTGGCGTCTCTGCCTCTGTTTTGGCACTTGTTTTATGGCCAGCCCAGTGGCCATTACTCCCAATGTGGCACTCAATCCCCATTTCCTTGGGGTGCTATGTCTCCCTAATCTCAATCCATGTGGTTCATGTAAAGTAGGAAAGAATTTCTTAAGGCATAAAAAACACTAAACATAAAGGATAATTTGACTAAATTAAAATTAATGTGTGTTTATCCGAAACTACTAAAGTGAAAAGTTAAGCCACAAACTGGGAGAAGATATTTGCCACACATATTAACTACAGACCATTGAGACATGGACGATTAGAAATATGGGAAATTGGCCGGGCGCGGTGGCTCACGCCTGTAATCCCAGCACTTTGGGAGGCCGAGGCGGGTGGATCACGAGGTCAAGAGATCGAGACCATCCTAGTCAACATGGTGAAACCCTGTCTCTACTAAAAATACAAAAAATTATCTGGGCATGGTGGTGCATGCCTGTAATCCCAGCTACGCAGGAGGCTGAGGCAGGAGAATTGCCTGAACCCAGGAGGCGGAGGTTGCGGTGAGCCGAGATCGCGCCATTGCACTCCAGCCTGGGTAACATGAGTGAAACTCTGTCTCAAAAAAAAAAAAAAAAGAAATATGGGAAATTGACCTGAACAGGTTTTTCACAGACATGGAAACAAATACATGCTTGAAAAGTTGCTCAACCCCATTAGCAATCATGGACACGAAGATTAGAATCACAGTGAACTCCATTTCACACCTACTAGGTTAGAAGTCCAGATTGCGTTTAGTGTTTGTGAGGATGACTCCAAAATTCTAAAGAAGCCCTCTCGGATTGTCTTCCAGGAGTTTAAAGTTTTGCTTTTTAAATTAAAGTCTTTAATCTGGGGAAGGAGGGAGTCATTAAATTCCATATTTTTCTCTATGATAATCAATTGTACTAGCACCTTTTGCCAAATTGTCCCTTCTTTCCCCAATGATCAGAAATGTCACCTTGCTAGTGTGATTCCGTCCTGTGCGGCTGTTCTTTTGAGCAGTGGTCATTTATCTCTGCCCGCCTTCTCTCCCATCTAAGTGCGTGCTGCCACCGGATGGAACATTCAATGGACTCAAAACCATCATCAACACCAAGATCAAAAGGGCAAGAATCCTTCAAAAAACAGGAAAAAACTCCTAAAACACCAAAAGGACCTAGTTCTGTAGAAGATATTAAAGCAAAAATGCAAGCCAGTATAGAAAAAGGTGGTTCTCTTCCCAAAGTGGAAGCCAAGTTCATCAATTATGTGAAGAATTTCTTCCGGATCACTGACTAGGAGGCTGTTCAAGATCTCTGGCAGTGGAGGAAGTCTTTTTAAGAAAATAGTTTAAACAATTTGTTGAGGTTTCCAAGATGCTGCCCAAAGGAAAAAGTGGTTCTGGAAAAGCAGGGAAAGGGGGAGCAGCCTCTGGGAGTGACAGTGCTGACAAGAAGGCTCAAGGTCCCAAAGGTGGTGGCAATGCAGTAAAGGTCAGACACATTCTATGTGAAAAACATGGCAAAATCATGGAAGCTATGGAAAAGTTAAAGTCTGGGATGAGATTCAATGAAGTGGCTGCACAATATAGTGAAGATAAAGCCAGGCAAGGGGGCGACTTGGGTTGGATGACCAGAGGGTCCATGGTAGGACCATTTCAAGAAGCAGCATTTGCCTTGCCTGTAAGTGGGATGGATAAGCCTGTGTTTACAGACCCACCAGTTAAGACAAAAATTGGATATCATATTATTATGGTTGAAGGAAGAAAATAAAATCATATGAAAGACTGAAAAAAAAAACAATTTGTTAAAAATTTTCTGTCTTATTTCATTTCTGTAAGTTGATATCTGGCTGTCCTTTTTACAATGCGGAGTGAGAATTTTCCCTACCGTGTTTGATAAATGTTGTCCAGGTTCCATTGCCAAGAATGTGTTGTCCAAAATGCCTGTAGTTTTTAAAGATGGAACTCCACCCTTTGCTTGGTTTTAGGTGTGTGTGGAATGTTATGATGGGACATAGTAGTGGTGGTGGTCAGACATGGAAATGGTGGGGAGACATATACATGTGAAATAAAACTCAGCATTTTAATTAAAATAAAAAAGAAATGTCACCTCTGTCACAAATGAAGTACGCATGGGTCTATTTCTGTGATTTCTATTCCGTTCCAGTGTTTTTAGAAGTCTGGTTAGCTTCTTTTTATTCTTTATGGGGAGTGTTTTGGCTTTTCTTGGATCTTTGCTCTTCCATAGGAGTCAGGATCAACTCCTCATCTTCCTTGAAAAGCCCGGTAGAGATTTTGATGGCAACAGTCCTGTTTCTGACTTCAAAAGAAACTGTTGTAATTTTTTACAGTTAGGAATGATATTTGCTATGGGATTTGGTAGATGCCTTTTAACTGGTTAAGGAAGTTCTCTCTGTTCTTAGTTTGCTGTGAGTTGTTACCAGGAGGGATTGTTGGGTTTTATAAAAGCATTAAACAATGTTTTTGCAACTATTCAGATGATCTTATAGTTCTCTTTTAATATGTTAATGTGGTTACTACAGGAATACATTTCCTTTTCTTTCTTTCTTTCTCTTTTTTTTTTTTTTGGCAGGGACTCACTCTGTCACCTAGGCTGGAGTGCGGTGTTAATCATAGCCCACTCTAGCCTTGAACACCCAGGTTTAAGCAATTCTACCGCCTCAGCCTCCCGAGTAGCTGGGACTATAGGTGCACACCATCACACCCAACTAATTTTTTAGTTTTTTGTTTATAGACAGGGTCTCCTTATGTTGCCCAGACTGGTCTCAAACTAATGGGCTCAAGTGATCTGCCTGCCTCAGCCTCCAAAGAGCTGAGATTACAGGCATGTGCCGCTGCACCCAAGCCAGGAATAAATTTTCTGTTGTTAAACGATCCTAGCATTCCTGGGGTAAATTCAACTTGGTTATGATGTATAATCCTTTTATGTAAATTGTTGGATTCAATTTACTAATATTTTATTTAGGATTTTGACTTCTGTGTCTCTGAGTGGTTTATGAGTGACACTGCTCGTCTTGTTTTGGTATCTTGTTTGTGCTGAGATCACAGGTGAGCTGGATGTGTTCTCTCTTTCCATTTTCCTGAAGAGCTATAAGGGAGTAAAATGATCTGGTCCCTGAAAGTTTAGCAGAACTTATTTCTAGGACCATCTGGGCTTGATATTTTTCTTTGGTTAAAAATTTCATCAGGCCAGGTGCAGTGACTCACGCCTGTAATCCCAGTACTTTGGGAGGTCAGGGCAGGAGGATCATTTGAGGCCAGGAATTTGAGACCAGTTTGGCAACATAATGAGACCCCGTCTCTACAAAAAACTTTAAAAATTTGCTGGGTGGGCGGGGGAGGCTGAGGCAGGAGGATCATTTGAGGCCAGAAGTTTGAGGCTTCAGTGAGTCAGTAGCTGAGGTCACGCCACTGCATTCCAGCTTGGGTGACAGAGTGAGACCCTATCTCAAAAATTAAAAATTATTGATTTATTTCATAGTTCCAGGCCTTATATTTTCTGTAGTTTAAAACTGACATATTTTGCTAAGGAACTGAATTTTTTTTTTTTTGAGACAGAGTTTCTCTCTTGTTGCTCAGGCTGGAGTGCAGTGGCACGACCTCGGCTCACTGCTACCTCCGTCTCCTGGGTTCCAGCGATTCTCCTGCCTCAGCCTCCCGAGCAGCTGGGATTACAGGCGCCTGCCACCACACCCAGCTAATTTTTGTAATTTTAATAGAGACAGGGTTTTGTCATGTTGGTCAGGCTGTCTCAAACTCCTGGCCTCCGATAGTCCACCTGCCTCGGCCCCGCAAGTGCTGAGATTATAGGTGTGAACCACGGCACCCGGCCAGGAATTGAATTTTTAATCATTATGTAGCCGTCCTCTCCATCCTTCATAATGCTTTTTGTAGTCTATGTTATCTAATATTAATATAGCTGCACTAACTTTCTTTGGGATAATATGTGTTAGGTATATCGTTTTCCACACTTTCAACCTTTCCAAATTCCTATGTCTTTGGAGTGTCTCTTGAAACAGCATCTCTTGAATTTTTTAAGTGCAATTTGACAATTACTGACTTTAAACTGAGGAGTTTAGTTTTCTTTCACTTTGTTTATTGATATATCTGAACTTATTTTTACTATCTCTTCCTTTTTTTATACATGTCTTGGGGTTGATTGGTATTTGTTTGTTTTCTTATTGGGTTTTACCATTTCCTTCTACTGATTTGAAAGTTATATATCTTATTTACATTATTTTAGCAACTATCATTGACTTTTTCTTCTGAGATGAATTCTCTATCCGTCGTCTGGGCTGGAGTGCAATGGTGAGATCTCGGCTCACTGCAAACTCCGCATCCTGGGTTCAATTGATTCTCCTGCCTCAGCCTCTGGAGTACTGGGACTATAGACATGCGTCACCACACCTGGCTAATTTTGTACTTTTGGTAGAGATGGGGTTTCACCATGGTGGCCAGGCTGACCTCAAGTGATCCACCCACCTCAGCCTCCCAAAGTGCTGGGATGACAAGCATGAGCCACCGCGCCTGGCCCCCATAGCTACCATTGACATTTTGCCACACGTATTTGACAAAGACCAAAGTTAAATCTTCATCCCCTTCCCTACGAGTGCAAAGTCGCTCAGAACACTTTAACTCCAGTCACCTCTTTCCTAATTTACTTTTGCCCAGTGTTTTAATTCTGTTCTTTAATTCTGTCTTAAACTCACAAATCATATATTACTGTTTCATCATTTTTTTGTGTACTGACAATTTTATTTAGCTCTTTTATACTTACCAATCTTTTCACTCCTGCCATCTCTTCTTAATGGGATAATTTTTCTTTTTTCTGAAGTACATCTTAAAAGCACAAGCCGGGTGTGGGGGCCTAGGCCTGTAGTCCCAGCTCCTGGACAGGTTGAGGCGGGAGGATGGCTCCTTGAGCCCAGGGGTTCGAGGCTGCAGTGAGCTATGATTGTGCCACTGTACTCTAGCCCGGGAACATATTATAGTAAGGGGCCCATCTCTTGGGTGAAAAGAAAAGGTCAGTTAGTCAGATTCTCCCAGTTTTCACTTGTATTTCACCCTCATTATTAAATTGCTGGGTACTGGTTCTCGGGTCTTTGAAGATATTATTTCACTATCATTTGGTTTCTATTGTTGCCATTGGGAAATCTGGTGACAAGCTAATTTCTTCTTTTGTGAGTAATCTGCCTTTAAAAAAAAAACAAAACCCTCTAGCTGGTTATAAGATCATTTCTTTGTTTTTAATGTTCTGCAGTTTCACTACAACGTTTCTTATTATTTACCCTGCTTCAGAGATATCGTGCTCCCTGCCCGGACGTAGTGGCTCACACCTGTAATTCTAGCATTTTGGGAGGCCGAGGCAGTTGCTTGGGCTGAAGAGTTGGAGACCAGCCTGGGCAACACAGCGAGACCCAGTCTTTACAAAAAAAATAGCTGGGTGTGGTGGCGTACGCCTGTATTCCCAGCTACTCAGGAGACCGAGATGGGAGGATCGCTTGAGCTTAGGAGGTCAAGGCTGCAATTAGTCATGATTGCACCACTGCACTCCAGCCTGGGGGACAGAGAGAGAGAGAGAGAGAGAGAGAGAAAGGGTTGTCCGACAAAGTTCTAATATCCAGAATCTACAACGAACTCAAATCAGCAAGAGAAAACAAACAATCCCATCAAAAAGTAAAAAAGTGGGCTAAGGACAAGAATAGACAATTCTCAAAAGAAGATATACAAATGGTCAATAAATATATGAAAAAATGCTCAGTATCACTAATGATGAGGGAAATGCAAATCAAAACCACAATGTGATACCACCTTACTCCTGCAAGAATGACCATAATAAAAAAATAATAAATGTTGGTATGGTTGAGGTGAAAAGGGCACACCTGTACATTGCTGGTGGAAATGTAAACTAGTGCAACCACTATGGAAAACACTGTGGAGATTCCTTAAGGAACTAAAAGTAGATCTACCATTTAATCCTCCAATACCACTACTGGGTATCTACCCAGAGGAAAAGAAGTCATTATACGAAAAACATACTTGCATGAGCATGTTTGTAGCAGCACAGTTCGCAATTGCAAAAATATGGAACCAGCCCAAATGCCCATCAATCAACAAGTAGATAAAGAAATTGTGGCCAGGCACAGTGGCTCACACCTGTAATCCCAGCACTTTGGGAGGCCGAGGTAGGCTGATCACAAGGTCAGGAGATCAAGACCAGCCTGGCCAACATGGTAAAACCCCGTCTCTACTAAAAAATACAAAAATTAGCTGGGCGTGGTGGCATGCACCTGCAGTCCCAGCTACTTGGGAGGCTGAGGCGGGAGAATTGCTTGAACTCGGGAGGCAGAGGTTGCAGTGAGCTAAGATAATGCCCCTGTACTCCAGCCTGGTGAGAGTGAGACTCTGGCTCAAAAAAAATTGTGATATATATATATACACACACACACACACACACATATATATATATATATATATATACACACATATATATATATCTCGCCATACATATATGTTCCATATATATATCACAAATTAGCAACAGAAAACAAACAATTATTTTCTGTTGCTAATTTCTCTTTTAATAAATTTAAAAAATTAATGCAAATTAAAGAAAGACATGCAGCCGGGCGCGGTGGCTCAAGCCTGTAATCCCAGCACTTTGGGAGGCCGAGGCGGGTGGATCACGAGGTCAAGAGATCGAGACCATCCTGGTCAACACGGTGAAACCCCATCTCTACTAAAACTACAAAAAATTAGCTGGGCATGGTGGCATGTGCCTGTAATCCCAGCTACTCAGGAGGCTGAGGCAGGAGAATTGCCTGAACCCAGGAGGCGGAGGTTGCGGTGAGCCGAGATCGCGCCATTGCACTCCAGCCTGGGTAACAAGAGCGAAACTCCCGTCTCAAAAAAAAAAAAAAAAAAGAAAGAAAGACATGCAGACATTTCTTTATATACAAGGAAACGTGGGGACTCTAAATTGGTTGTTTGCTCTTACTGCTGACCTTCTTCCTCTCTCCCTTTCTCTCTTTCTGT